CAATCTTTGTAATGTTTTGAACAACCAATAAAATAAAAAAAAAGATGGACATCATTATCCAAAGTATATGTATGAAGACACGAATTGGTGTGAATATATTTTGTATACAACCAGAGATATGAAAAATTGTGCTCTGTCTGTGTAATATGAATTGAAATGCATTCTGCTGCTGTCATATATAACAAATTAGAATTAAAAAGTTAAAAAAATTAAAGAAGATTTAAAAAATGCAAGTAAAATAAAAAGATAACTCCTCTCATATCGATTTCACAAAATTACATAAAAACAATTACCAGTATTGGCAAATAATAAAATGTATGCCCCTGAGCATTGCTGTTAAAATATAATCTTGTACAATTTTTCTTAATTATTTTGAAATAATTTAGAACCTTTACAAAAAGAAAGCTTTTACTAGCTCATGACCTTTCACCTRTAATTATACTTTTATTCTAATAAACATAGATAAACAAATATTTATATAGGACTGTTCATTATGTTCACTTAAGTATTATATTGAAATGTTACATAAATAAGTGAAGATTGGAAAGCATCCAGAAATATATACCCTTATGATAGAATTCTACTTAGAAATTAGTAATGATATTTTTAGTAAATATTTCTTAATATAGTAAAATACCAAAAATGTAATAATGAAATAGCAGAATAGCAAACTGTACATTATAACCTTAGTTTTATAAACCAATACATACTTCTTCATAAAATTTAACATTTATATATAAAATAAAAGGAGGCAAAGAAGAAAATATGTCACAATATTAAAGTGGTTGTTTCTGAGTAATTGCATTAGAGATAACTTTTATTTTTCATATTTTCCTATATTGAAAACAAATCTGAAATGAACAGAAAAAAATTACTTTGAAAGATTTAACTGGAATGATTGAGATTATTGAGTTTACTTAATATTAAGAGATGTTTTGGYCTGGATGTAATTTGTCCTCTAAAGGGTCCTAGGTTAAGAAAATCRGTCCCCAGTGTGGAAGCATTAAGATGGTAGAATCTTTAAAAAGTGGGGCCTAGTGGAAAGTAATTAAGTCATGGAGGTCATAGCCTTCTGAATGGGATTAACCCTACAAAGGGGTTAAGGCTGGTTTTATAGAGTGTTACTTTTCCTGAAAGCAAGTCATTTTATAAAAAGAGCAAGACTGTCCCCTCCTGACTCTCTGGCTTCAAGTCYTGCCATATGATCCTTCAGCTCATAGCTAGTTCCCTTTCTACCAACCTGTCATGTTGTGACACAGCCAAGGACTCTCTCACTAGAGGCTGAAGATATGGGGCATCTTGATATTAAATGGGACTTTTGTCCTCCAAAACTATGAGCTAAATAAACTAACTTATTTTATTTTCTCCTTTCTTTCTTCTTTTCWCTTTCTCTATTTTTCTTTCTTTCTTTCTTTCTTTTTTTTATTTTGATACTACAGAATTAAAATCCCAGGTACTTTAACACTAAGCTACATTCCAGTCTTYATGTTTTTAAATTTTGAGACAGGGTCTCACTAATTTTCTTAGGGCCTTGCTAAACTGCCATCACTGGCCTAGAAATTGTAATTTTCCTGCCTCAGTTTCCCAAGTTGCTGGGATTATAGGATTGTACCAGTGATCCCAGCAAAACCTTTTTCTTTATAAAGTACTCAGGTATTTTGCTACAGTAACAGAAAACAGACTAAGAAAGAGATTATACTAAAAAGTGTTCTAAAACATCCTTTGACAAATTTTAAGTTAATTTAATGAATAAATTTAGGGTTATTTTGTTGACAGCACCTTACAAGTTAGCAATTAAAGGCTCTAAAATGAGCCCTAGGCTTATTATTATTCTTTAGGTAATACCTTTCTCATGTTAGAGGAAAAAGAAAGAAAGAAAAATACATTAAAAAGCAAACTGACCGCTGGCGGACTTTTACTCTTTTCAATGTATGTGAAAAGTTCATACAAAACCACTCCAAAGCTCCAAACATCYGAGGCCACAGAAAACTTGCTCTCCGTTAGAGATTCTGGAGCATACCTGTTCATGGAAAACATTTAAAAAGACAGTTATTTATGTGTCAATTCTAGATTTTACCAACAAAATATTACTTGTTTGTTTGTTTTAAATTTTATAGAAAATCGTCAACATAGCAGGCCTGAGACTGACATCTTTAGAAGGACCTCCTTGCAATGTTGATCCTTGACTGGCACCTGGGAACTTAAGATTTCAGGAAGGTTTCTACAATTCCCTAAATGATGAGCACCTTACTTGTGTCTGAAGTATTTAAGCAAAAAATGTGGTTTATGTTCACATCTGCTTTTCTTATGGGACTCTGGAATTTTGGTATGTGCCAGGCATAGAGTGCCATGTAACCATTCCTAATAAAAAAAATCTTGCATTCTAATGAGCTTCTCTGATAGACAATATCTCACATGTGTTGTGGTCATTTATTGGTGGAAGAATTAAGTTATGTTCTATATAACTTTACTGGGACAGAAGATGGAAATTTGTGCCTGCTTTCCTCCAAGCTTTGTGCCACGCACCTTTTCCCCCTTTGTTGATTTTGCTGTGTTATTCTTCCTGTAATGAATCTTGCTGTGAACAGGACTACATGCTGAGTACTGTGAACGTTCCCATCAAACCATAGAGCCTGAGAGTGGTCTTGAGAACCTCTGACATACACAGACAAGGAAAATCTAAAGAAATTTATTTCTGTCTCTATGATCAGCTCCAAGGTCAAATGCAAAGTACCTTYTAAAAACTTAAAAATAAGTGTTTATGCAAAATTTGGGATGAGAGGGGAAAAGAAATATAAATKTAAGAATAAAAGAATGATATAAAGTTTCCATCAAAAAGAAAAAGTGTTTCTGTACCTTTTTAAATGTTGTGACACTGGTATTAAATTTGAGTGCATTTAAAAGATTACTATAGTTGTTATTTAGATGTCAATATTTACCATAGTCAAGAAAATAATTACTCATAACTATCTAAAATTTACAAAGAAAAATTTAGCTATTCATTTAAAAATATCCTTGAGAGGGCTAGGAAATATAGCTCAGTTGGTAAAGTGCTTGCCTCACATGTACAAGGCCCTGGGGTTCAATCCCTAGCACCACACACACACACACACACACACACACACACACACACACACACACACATATATATATATATATATATATATATATATATATATATATATTATATACATATATATGTATATATATCGGTTTAAGATTTCTTTTAATAAGTATATACACACAAAACGTTTAAAAACCAATTATTTAGGTTTCTGAAAAAAATCTACCTATGTAGCTGCTTCTCTGCTTTTTGCCTCTTCTTAATGTATGTCCTCTCTATAGTATCAGTCTTTTGGTCTCAGGATCCCCCATATGCTCTTAAAAATTATTGAGATTACCCCCCAAAAAATTTTGTTAATGTGGATTATATCTACTGATATTAACTAATATTAAATATTGATATTAAGTATTAAAACTAAGAAAATACAAAACTATTAATTCATCTAGAGTAAAAAAGAAACCCATTACATCTTAAATAAATATGTGAGAAAAATAGGATTTTTAAGCATTTTTTCAAATCTCTTTCATGTTTGGGAAATAGAAACATGTCCTGTAGCCTCTGGAAAGTTCTACTACATATTCATGAAAAAAATGAGTGTGAAAAATTCCAATTAAATTTTCATATTATTATGACTTGGAGTTCTACAGCACAAGTAGAGCTTTATACCTAAAATATGAATTTCACCATGTTGTTCATCTGTATAAATTTCACACCTTACACACTTGTCTACTATGTAAGGTCTGAACTCTACATGATATATGAGGCTTCTCTTAGGCCATTTATGCTGCTCTAACACAATACCTGACACTATAATTTATAAAAAACAGAAATTTATTGGGAAGTCAAAGATCACAGTATAGACAGGCCCAGTTGTTGCAAYTGATACATCCTTCAGAGGAAAGAATCATCTTGTCCTTAGATGGAAGAAGCYGGAAGTTCCACAAGAGGAACCAAATGCTGGGCAAAACCTCCTTCCTAAGAGCCTTAATCCCATTCCCAAAAGAGCCTCRTGTCTTAATCATCTCTTAAAGGTTTCCCTCAATCTTAATACTATTCACATTGGCAACACCTAAATTTTGGAGAGCACATACAAGCCATACCAATGCTCAATCTCTTTCTAGCCCCAATTACATCCTGTTTGTTCTGTGATTATGCCTGTCACCTGCAAGCCCTTGATTCTTTTGCTCTTATCAACTTCCTCATTGTCTAAGTGGTAAATTCCTCCTAATCAATATTTGAAATATCATTTCTTAGTTGTCATCTTTTTTACGCTTTACTTAAACTCTCAGCAGAATTATTTGCACCCTTGTGTTTTACCATTATCTTCATTGTTGCACTTCCATACTGCAAGAGAGTGATTTGATTATATATTTGTGTTATGGTTTGGATGTGAGGTGTCCCCCAAAAGCTCATGTGTGAGACAATGCAAGAAGGTTCAGAGGAGAAATGATTGGATATAAGAGTCTTAACCCAATCAGTGATTTAATCCCCTGATAGGGATTAACTGAGTGGTAACTGATGTGGTGGAGTGTRGCTGGAGGTGGCGGGAATTGGGGTATAGCTTTTAATTGCCAATTAATTCCATTTAACTTCTTAATCTACCACCCTAGAAAATGAAAAATGAAGAAAAAAAAAAGAATGAAGTAAAAAATAAATTAAATTCTGATATCACTTGGACATGACCAAAAGAAATGATCATGTATATGAGTCTTCTAGTTTCATACATACTCTAAAAATTAGATGAAAGTATTGCTAAAAATTATCATGAAGATACTCCTTAAAAATTGTTTAAAATTATGAAACAATTTAACTATATATAAATTAGAACATTAAACTACCATGTACTTCTCACTCWGCTAAACTCATCATCTCTTATTTCATGTATTACTCTCCATGTTCCCTGCTACTGAATTTATAAGAAGTGAATCCCAATATGACAATATTTCAATTTCAAGATACATTTCCACATCTCTAAAAGATAAGAATTCTTCTTTAAAAAAATTCATAATACCATTATAAATTACACTTCTGTGGAAATAATCAATTTGTTCTAAATCATTGGTGTCTTTTTACCTGACTTTTCCAGAATAACAATTTGTAATAGATGGTATCAACTGTAAAATTTACAATTACAAACAAAATGAACATAAGTAGCACATATGGATAATCTATGAACTTAGCAGTAACAAACCAAACCATTAATATCTTTCTACTTATAAACACTATTGTTTGCATTAGCACTTCTAATTTTTTTATTTCTTACATACATGAGAATAGTGGAATGCATTACAATCATAATTATCCATTCACAACACAATTTTTGTAACTCTGTATATAAAGTATGTTCATGCCAAATTATGCCATTATACATGAGCTCTCTTATTATTATTTTTGCATTACAATTCTTAATACACCTTTATACCACAATTTATCATATCTCTGATTGTACATAAGGTATGTTGACACCAAATTCACATCTTCATACATGTATTTTGTATAATGATGAGGGTCTCCTTCCACCATCCATGCTATTCCCCTTCTCCCTCCCTTTCCCTCCCACCCCTATTCCCTATCTAGAGGTAATCTTCCTCCCTTGCTCTCCCTTCCAACCCCATTTTGAATCACCCCCCTTATATCAGAGAAGACATTTGGCATTTGTTATTTTTTTGAGGGGGGGATTGGCTAACTTCACTTAGCATAATCTTCTCTAATGCCATCCATATCCCTGCAAATGCCATGATCTTATTCTTCTTTTAAGTCATATATAAAAGACTAAATAAAGCATACTTAACTAAAATAAATAAAACYCCTCCTTTAACATTGATATCTGACTCAAATGACACTATCTTAATAGTATTATTTTAGCAGATAAATAAAACAGAATTAAAGTCTACTTTTGGAATGCATACAAAACCAAAACAAATGATTTCAAAGTTATCCCTAGAAAAATGAAACATACCATAAAAGAATGAAGGCATAAAGTAAAAATGTTTCATCAAAGCATCTATCAACAGAACATTTTTAATGTGTACATAGCACATTAAAAAATGAGGGTTTAATGTTCCTCAAAATAATTCACAATTTTCAGACCAATAATTATCTTCAGCTTCAAACTGTTATAACCTATAAAAATAATCAGTTAATGCCAGACTGTACACTACCCTAGTTAGGAAAGCTTAAGAGCTCAAACTCTAGAATCAGACTATCTGGTTTAAATCCTAGTTCTACTCTGTACCAGTCACATACTAGTGGGCAAACTACTTAACTTATCTACACTTCAGTTCTTTCATGATTAAAAGGGAGATGCAGGCTGGGCACAATGGCACATGCCTGTAATCCCACCGGTTCAGGAGGCTGAAACAGGAAAATTGCGAGTTCAAATCCAGCCTCAGCAACAGTGAGGCACTCAGTGAGACTCTATCTCTAATAAAATACAAAATAGGGCTAGGTATGTGGATCAGTGATCAAGTACCCTTGAGTTCAATCCCCAATACAAAAAAAAAAAAAAGGAGTTGCAGATGGAGGAACCCTTATCTAAAATGCTTGGGAACAGAAGTGTTTCAGATTTCAGAATTTTTCAGATTTTGGAATGCTTATATAAAGTATACCAGTTAAGCATCCTTATTCTAAAAATCCATATTTTAAAGTGCTCCAAAATTTGAAACTTTTCAAGTGTCTTGTGAGGGCTAAAAGATTTTGGATTTCAGAATTTTGTAGTAGGACTCATTTTTTTTTTTCTCTTTTGGCAGTGCTGGGGTGTCAGTAGCCATCTGTGAGCTGTGTGTGGACAGTTGTGCAACACAGCCTAATTGAATAGGGAAATCTGATGTCTGGGAACTTCCAGTGGACATTTCCTCTGGTTGACTGCTCAGATACATTGTGAGCCTTATTCAAGCTCTGCCAGGTCCCACACAGCACCGGAGATGGGGTGACTTGCTACAGTCACACATCCCCTCTGAGATGGATGTGWCTTATTAAGATGTCAATCAACCTGCTGACTACAAGATATCATAAAGCCAGACTCCCCTCCTAAAACCTTCCGCCTGCCTTTTATGTACCCCCTTAAATAAACCACAGGAGCCATTTTCTATTTGTCTATCTCCAGCTCATGTGTGGACTGCATCTATCAGGGCTCCATCTTTAAAACTGTCTTTTCTGACACTATCTTTTGTTCTTTACTAATTATTCTAGACTTTAATTTCTCAGGAGGCTTATCCCTCCAAGCAGGCAAGAATTCCCTGGTGAGATGCAAGACACCCCACCTGGTGCATGCTGGATGAGTGTTCTATCATTGTACTACACCCTCAATTCTTTTTCATAGCATTTTAGATTTTCAAGTTTGGGATACTCAGTCTGTATTCTCCAAGGGCTGTTATGAGGATTAAGTGAGATGATCCATGAAATGCATTTAACCCAATGTAACACATATGATAAATGATTGCTACTATAATAAGCAATATGAAACATTATTATATGTTATATAATAATAATAGTAACAAGAATGTTTGAAGTTTGTGCTTTAAAAATTCATTTTATAATACTGAAATAGACTGTACTCACCAGAATATGGGACTTTCACCAGGTTCTTTCACTTTATAGTATTCTTTGTCTTGTGGCAAGACTTTAGTTAATCCAAAATCTCCAATTTTAACTCTGTTCTCATTCTCCACTAATATATTTCTTGTTGCTAGATCTCTATGAATATACCTTTTTGTACCAAGATACTCCATGCCCTATGAATAAAATAACATTTTCCTTTCAGCCGATTGAATAGACCTAATTTAAATGACTTCATCCTTATAAATTCCCTTTGTTAGCTAATAAAAAGTCTAGAAGATTTCTTAATTACTTCAATATGCTCTTCATCTACAAAAAAATAACAAGGATATTAGGTACCTTGCATATCTGAGATGTGTACTGCAGAAGTTTCTTGTGATCTATCCGTTCTTTATGTTTTTGGAGGTAGTCTCGTAAACTTCCATATGGTAAATATTCCATAATTAATCTTAGATTACGCCGTCCTTTTAATGTACAAACAGAACATAATATTTTACTTTGCTTTATTTTACTTACTACTAGAAAAAATATATAAATAACTTAAATAAATGTAAAATTATGTCTATGATGATAACACTTCATTATAACTTAAAGGTAATGTAGTAGTTAAGAATTACTTAGTTAAAAACTACACAGGGTTTTTTTTAAATCCAAAAGTTTTGGGAACAATAATTAAAAATATGTTTTAGTCTTCTATGTTTATGTTTTAGTTTTCTTCTAAAATAAGTTGATAAGACAACTTTGATTTTCCTCATTTGTATTGAACAAAATCATATAATTTAATAATCTTTTGATAGAAAATATAAGGAAAGATTTTTTTT